TAATGTCTCTGACTTTCTGATTAAACATCACATCTTTTAGTTTGTTACCTTATCAGCTTGTCATAAGTACTGCTGAATGATTTTGACACTTTTCCATTTATTCTTTGCCAAAGAGGAGCCTATGCACATCTAGGGATGTGGAAAATAATCGTTTTGGCGATATATCGTGATTTCCCGCTTCCCGTTATAATATTGATTTTTTTATTTCACTTCCTACATTCTCTCCATTGATGACGTCATCATCAGACATGCTCAGAGCAGAGACCGTAACGTTTGAAAGGCTATTTACGTGTTTTTTTTTATGTACTGGCTTTTATATTTAGTTTTTATAATATGTAATATGTTAGGTTTATTCTTTATACATAATGTGCATTGTTATTCTATTAGCCAGATTAGACAGAGTAGACGGCCTTCCTTCACATTGTGGATGTCACTGTGGGTACGGAGGTCATCTAATCAGGACAGCCTTCGTGTCTTTAGAAATACACAGAATATGGGCACATCTTGGAGCCGGTCTGATAAAGGGAAGCTATCTGTAATTGTTGGGCATAGAGGCAAGATACATACATGTCAGGGCATTGATGGCGTGTCAGTTTCTGATACGGACAGCTAAGCATCCACATGATCCAACACATAGACTCATGAGCTATAAGAAGGAGAAGTAGACCTTGTTCGGGGCTCATTCTTTGCCGGACGCTCGCGGACTTGATTTTTGAGCCCACAGCTGTGCAAGCTCCAAGCATTTTCTCTGTCCTGTAAGAACCTGATCTGGAATAAACTCTGTTACTTTTTTAACTCCTGTTTTATAGTCCTTTTTATATGTTTTTACCCAGTTTGAGTTAAGAGTAGTAAATAACTTGCTCCCAGGAAAAGAACCGGTGGGGAAGCCCCGAGGCGCAGCTGCTTTTTAGGGGACATAACTTCCACCTTTAACAAATATTTAAGCACATACCAAAATATTCAAAAGGTACCCCACGCCTGAAAAAGACAAAAGAATAAAAAAAGTAAGAAAAACAAAGTTTTGCCTACTCAGGAGTTAACCTGTTCACGACCGGCGCAGGACGGAATGTTTTTCCAAGACGGATCGGGTAGCGACACTGAGCACTGTAGTGCCATTTTGCCATTTTGGCAATCAATGCCGGAAATGCAAACTGCAGGTTAGTCTCAGCAGAAGTTTAATATGGTCATATTAAGTTCACTGACCTTAGGTTTAGGTTTCTCATTGCTTTTCCACAGAACTTTATTGGCAAAAAGATAAACAAAGAGAACCGTGCAAACATTTCTACAAAAAGCAGTCGAGTCATTTATGTCCAAAAGATGAAAAATCCTGTTGAATTAACCAACTTCCAATGTAGACTTACAGTATGGATTCAAAAATGGCGCCGCCCTGCCCCTGCTTTAGCATGCCTCTCTATCATCTTAGGCTGGACAGTTTAAAAGCAACATTTCCTCCTGGTTGTCAACAGAAAAACGTGAGTATTTCACTCTGCGTGCATATTGGCAACAGAGTAAATAGCTGAAGATACTGAAATAGAAATTCCTCAGCAGGAAAAAACATTTAGAACTGCATATACCTAAAATCAGGATGTAGTTTACATTAAAAGTGTAATGATAATATAAATAAACTTGCAATGTCTGCATTATAATTTTAATTTGTTTTCTTGCAGTCTTTTTTATCACGTTAATATTTCATCTTTACTGCTTTTAATACTTAGTTTAAATTATTTCTTCCGTTTCTCGCCTATTAAACCGCTGGGATGTTTTCCTATCGTGTTTTTTTATACTTTGACTTTTAGTTATCTTTCTACTGATTTAAATAAACTAGTCTATAAATTGCCAGGTGTGTTAATGTCGGGACTTTCCATGCAACAGTTAAGCCGGGCATACAATGTGCGATTTTTTGCAGAGCTACAGCTCACACTGTAGGGTTTCATTGAACAGTGTGAGTTCACAGCTCACGATGGATGTTTTCACACTGTGCAACCCGACGCTCTGATGCGATCTACCTGCTCACACTGCACGTCTAAAAACCAGGTGGGACTCAGCTCCGCAGTGAGATGGCGCTACTCGGACTC